ATTCACGGCGTTTCGGCCGTTTGCACGCTCCGGCCTTCAGGATCTGTGTATATTTTCAAGATGAGGTATTGTAAGTATTTACACTATTTACATCGTTCGGACTGTTGTCTTCATCTTTATTGCCATATTCACAACGTTTCGACCGTTGTTCGTTTCGGGTGATATACATTGGAATTTAGTCCACGGGATAGATTGTTCTAATTCCACATGCCATGCCACTTTTGCATATCTTAGTTTCAGTTAGTAAGTCAACTCTCCAAGTTTTTCTTTCCTCTGCTGTGGATGTAAATAGTCTAAATTGTTTTTGTTTTTTTTTCATTAGCATAAAATATATTTAAGAAATTACTTTTAGTATTTTTTATACCAATGTTCGTCAAATACAAAGCCCAAGAGACACTCAAGTAAGACAGTTACTCTGTGGTGTTGCATGAGTCTAAGAAAAGGACAATAAGTGAAGTTATCGAGGTTATTCAGAAAAGATAACAGCTAATGCTAGACTTGAAGAGGTCAAGATGGCAGTGATCGGTAAAGCACCCTACCGGGAATCTGTTCCACAAATCAGCTATTCTCGCAAAGAAAGTGTCCAAAAGGGAACATATTTCTTACTCCTGGAACTACAAAGGGAATGGGAGGGGATTTACCTTTGTGTATGTGGCATGGTAGGTCATAGTTTTAAAGGTAAATGGTAGTTGAAGTAAGGAATGGAGCGTGTCAGAACACACAATATGGAAATAGGGGTCGTTTAGCGAGAGGCTGGTGGCGTTTCGTCTGTGGCAAATAGCAAGTAATTCGTCACTCACAAGACCGTATAGACGGTTTTGAAATCTTGAGGCAATTGAAGACTGGGCAGCTCCCTCGGAGATATGGCAGCTGTACACCATTTTTTTTTTTAATCTGATCTGGCTCCTGTAACGATAGAATATAGCAAGTCGGGGGAGTCACGTAATTACTGGAATGGTATAATGCAGTATATTGCAGTATTTTTAATATTAGATCGGATATACGAGTTCCACTTGGGGTCTGGAGAGTGCTTAATACCAATGATTGTTGAAAGTTGGGAAATCGGTTTTTATACTTGTTAATTGATATTTATTCCCATCCAAATTTTACATCCCCTTCTCGATGATCGCTACAAAAAGAAAATTATATAAGTAAAAAATATTCCAAAAGTTGCAGGGTGGGAAATAATTAGTCACCCACAAGGCCGAAAATTTACACCTATTTCTCGATGATCGCCTCAAAAAATATATCTCTATCTATAAAAGGCAGGATGTGTGTGTGTGTGTGTGTGTGTGTGTGTGTGACGAATGCACGGCCGCAATTTTTGACGGACTTGCACCAAAATTAACATGCACATGCTCCAAGTTAGCGGGAAGGCCAAAACCGACTTTACATTGACAGTGGAAATAATCGATTTTTTCATGCTTCTACGGCACTTTTCATGTAGTTTGCGGCCATTTTCTACTGGCCAGCGTGAGAGCCAACAACTGACTGACACGAATGTTAACTAGCATGCAAAAAAAAAATCGATAGCTGCATTCGTCACAAGTGGGAAAAATTTAAATCTGCATGGCACTTTACTCCAATTGGCTCATTCGCTTGCTTAAACTCAACGTTGATTCTGATTCCGCAGAACTGTGTTGGGTGTGAAAAAGTATTTGTTGTTAACATTGTTTTTTCATTCGGTTTTTCCAGTTACGAGCCCTTGTTTTAAAGCTGATCGTTTTGTGTTCATTTTGTTTAGTTCTTTTTTTCGTAGCAGATTTAATGTTTAGTATAGAGCTTAGAAAAAAAAGATAGGCAAGAAGTAAGGCATGTAGCAACATCAGCACGAAAAAGGGCACTCCTTTAAAGGCAAGGAAGGGCAAAAATATTTTAAGTCAAGTGATAGCGATTGCTGTATGAGTCGTACGATTTTTGAATCAAGCAGGGGAAACGCTGGGCCATGCTACTAGTATACATATATAAGTAAAAATGCTCCATAACTAAATTAAAAGTCGGAAATATACAGTCCGTCTGAAGTTATTATGCATATCACCTAAACCTCAATAACTTGAATTTTCAAATTTAATTTAAACGTCAAAACAAAGCTCGACTTAAATTTTATGGTAGTTTGAAAATGTTTTATCAAATTTATTGTATTTATTATAATAAAAAACCTACTGTCTGAAGTTATGGAAAACCAGAATATTCCTTTTTACTTCAATAACAAGGTAATAAAATCAACAATTGATTAACACTTATAATAGAACAAATAATAAATTATATATGATAAGTTTCTGATGCTTTAATATAGTGACCCTATGAATTCTTACCACCTAATGCAACAATTAATGCTCAAATATACTGTCAGCAATTAGAGCGTTTGAACCAAGCTTTGAGGGAAAAAAGACCTGCTCTAGTGAATTGAAAAGAGGTGATATTTCATCAGGACAATGCGCGACCCCACACAGTAAGAATCACGTCACAAAAAAGATCGAAGAACTTGGTTGGGAGAAAATTCCTCATCCACCTTATTCTCCCGATCTTGCTCCTTCAGACTACCATTTGTTTCGTAGCTTACAGAATCATTTGGAAGAAACAGCTTTTGTAACACAGGAAGAGGTTAAAACTGACATTTGTGAGTTCTTCGACCAAATCCAAAAGAATTTTACAGTAATGGAATTAGTAAGCTTGTTAATAGATGGAAGGAAGTCATAGATAATCAGGGAAAATACATTGTTGATTGTATCTGTAATTAAATGTAACATTTGGTCACTTGTTTTCTTTATTCAAAATTCGGACAGAACTTATGGGATGACCTGATACTATTCATTGAGTTCATCATGTTTTTTTGTTGTTGTTTTTTTTTTTACTCTAGCAAGTTTCTGACACGTTGGCTTTAATTGCTTCCATAGCTCTTCTTTGCTGTTATACTGTTTGCCAGCTTCATATAATATCATCTTCATAATTGACCACAGATTTTCGATCGGACTTAATGGTGGCTACTTGATTGTCTTATCTCCTGTAAATCATGTACACTCAAAAAAAAATCACGAGTAACTTTATATGCATGAGAAGGGAAATTTTCGTGCATAAATACACACGCCATTTTGAAACTGTGAGGCTGGAACTTGTACCATTCATAGAAAGCCCCGTCCAAAAAATCGCATTGTTCAGTTTAACTCCTTCGTCGAATTTTAATGTTTCAATAATGGTTCGGTCATCACACTGCCGTCCCTTGCTGCCAACTTTTCGACACAAGCACATCTACATCGGATAAAATCCATCCTTTCGATCATCTATCGGGTCAATCGAGTGTCACGTGATATTCGCCCTGGAAAATTACTTTAGAAAAATCAATGTTCATGTATTTCTTGGCCCAATTTTGAGACTTATTTGCTTTAGTGAGATTAAGTTTGCCAAAGAGATTTCTTGACAGGTACTAATTTGCGAAGTATACTACACCTTTTGTCTTTCTTGACGCCCTCAGTACTAATCTGTTCAGAGATCTGGGAACTGGTCGAAAGTGGCTGTTACGTTATAACTCATTTTATTTTAAGTTCCTAAAGCATTTTTCCTTTGCTTCTAGTTCTCAAATTAGTTATATTTATTTTTAACATTCGATGATCTCTGCAAAGCTCCCTGGATATCTTCAGTTTGGACATTCACTCACTCAATAACTTTTTTTCTGTTTTTTCAGCATTTGTTAGAACCTATCCATGTTATGTTTCAAAATATATTCTGGAAAACAGAAAAGAATAGTTTTTATTAGATTTCAGATTTAATATTAACTAGCAGTAGAGCCCAGCATTGCCCGGGGATGTAACAGTAAAAGATAGATCAAGTATCGACCATCATAAAGACTGAAAAATAAAATTGACAAAGATTATTGTTTAAGGTTGATGGACACGCATGTCTTAATTAGTTTTTTTTTTCTTACGAATTGGTCAAACCTAAACTCAAACAAAAACATTGTTTTCAATCGTTATGAGTCTACCGATTGAATAGAATTTTATTATAAACAATTGTCTTGTAAATGGAATGTTTAAAGCATTCTGAATGTAAAAATAAAGAAAAAAGTGTGCAAGACAATAAGAAACACTACCTGCCAAAAAAAAGAGAAGTTTTGTGGGAATCGGTTGAAAAATGTAGGAAATCCGATCCCATATATAAACGAATACACACACACACACACTCACAAACAACCTGGGTTTTATAATAAGTATAACTCGATATGAGTTGTCCCCCTTTCATTCTCGCGATGACTCTTAATCGTGTTTTCAAATTGATTTCGTGCAAAAACAATTATTTTTTTCCAATTTTTGGCGCTGTCAGAACCACCGCAAGGTAATTTTACGTAGTCCTGTGAAGTTTTGTTGGAATCGGTTGAAAAATGTAGGAAATCCGATCCAATATATAAAAGTACAGACACACACACACACAACCTGGATTTATAATAAGTATGATTTAATCAGCTTAATAAATTAAATAAAACATGTTGAAACTGTCTAAAAATTTAACTCAGGTTTGATTTTGACGTCTAAATTAATTGTTTAATACTTGACAAAAATGTTCAAATCAAATTCGAGTTATTAAGATTTATATGATTTGCATAATAACTTCAGACGGCAAGATCTTTTTACTTATCTGCAAATAACCCTGGGAAAGGAATGAATCCATCTCTTCTCTCCCCAGCTATGGGTTAAAAAGCAAGAATTGTATCACTTAAAAATTATTATCTCGAAAAAATTTACAATCTAAAAATATTTTCTGGCCTTAAATAACCAGCAAAGGGTTGATAAACCGTAGAAAATGAACGAATGAATCAGTCAATCTGCTTCCCTATTTTTACCCTCATTCATTTTTCTTCTTATACTCTGTATTTTCTTCTTCTTCTTCTTCTTCTTCTTCTTCTTCTTCTTCTTCTTCTTCTTTGTCACACACACTTACTTTTTTTTTGTCATTTATTTCCTTTCTGTTCACTTAATTTGATCCATTAGAACTTCCCTATCAACGTAATGTCCATCTCCCTCCACCTGGAAGCATTTCATAAGTCAGTGCATATGGACGCGGTGGTAGTGATAAAATCTCGAGCAGAACAAGAAGTAAACTGTGATATTTGAGTATTTGATTAATTTTCAGAATCCTTTTCAATATATATATATATATATATATATATATATATACAGTTGGTATGACGTTTGCGTTGTATCGAAATGGTTCGGGTTCGATTCTCGGTAATGGATGTGCACTGCTGATGTGTCCAAGATAGGGCGAAATAGTTATTCGTCGAGCCTAGAATAATCCTCAACAGAATGCAGAATGTGTGTAAGTGTATATATTCGTGTGGGTGTGTGTATAAGTGTGAGGCCTCAACACCCCCGTAAACACGTCTGTCTTGTGTGGCTGAGAATTGTGGGTAGGTCCTGATTTGTGGGGTTATATATTAATACTATCTATATTGTTAAATTTGTGATTAAGTCCATCTGGATAATGTGTTTTTAAACGTTGTATCCACTTATTTTCATGGAACTCTAAAATCTTTCTAATGTTATCTGCTCTGAACTTTTCTATTCTCTCAATTATAGTGAATTTGGCATGGGTTTTAAAATCGTATTTTTCTACGCAGAAATCTTGTTCTACAAGTAATAATCTTTCATGGGGAGTTGACTTAATTCGATTGCAATAATTATTAATGCTGTAGTGAAAGGGCCATTCAGATTTTCTTACATATTGTTTTTGGCATAGTGTGCATTCTAGGAGGTGAATTATGTTATGACTTCTGCAGTTAGAGTTGTGGTAGGTTTTGAAAGTAGATTTAGTGACTGAGCTATTGAATATATATATATATATATATATATATATATATATATATCAATTTACATCCTTATACTTATACCTATTCTGTCTATGTCAGCCTGTTTTTATCTATTTCAGTCTATATATATATATATATATATATATATATATATATATATATATATATATCAGCTTATGGGTACAAGCAAGGAGAATGCTTGTGCTTAACATAAGGAAGAAGCAGATGAAATTTCTTCGACACGCAATGAGAAAGGAGGGTCTGGAGAATCTGATACTCACAGAACGAAAAAGAAAAGGATATCAGCTTGTTCTTATCTATCTATCCATTTATCTATCTATGTGTTTATCTCCTGTTACACTCATTTTTCTTTTTTATCTATCTATCTATCTATCTATTTTTTATCTATCTATCTATCTATCTATCTATCTATGTCCTTCTTTTCATAACTGTCTATTTGCATCATTTTATTAATAACTATTCTAAATATATCAGACTGTTCTTATGTATTGCAATCTGTTCATATCTATTTATCTCCTTTTATTTATTTCTATCTATCTATCTATCTTTTTCTATTCATATCTATCTATCTATCTATCTATCTATCACATTCTGTTCATATATATCTATCTCCTTCTGTTCATATCTGTCTATTTCCTTCTGTATCTATCTATCTATCTATCTATCTATCTCTATCTCTCTCTCTCTCTCTCTCTCTATATATATATATATATATATATATATATATATATATATATATATATATATATATACAAAGGACCAATAATAATATCCCTCAGACGAAACTTGGCATTATAAAAAAAAAGAATAGTTTTGTTTTATATTACATTTTCAAATGGAATTAAAAAAAAGTTTCTTCTCACTCCGTCACTCACTCACTCACTCATTATCTATCTATCTATCTATCTATCTATCTATCTATCTCTTTCTGTTCATATCTATCTATCTATCTATCTATCTATCTATCTATCTATCTATCTATCTATCTATCTATCTCCTTCTGTTCATATCTATCTATCACCGTTTTCTCACATAGTTCTATGTTCATAACCAAAACACTTTCAAATAGTAAAAGCAATTCATTGTCAATGATTATTTTTGGGGGGGGGAATTTTTTGCTAACGTTAATCCTTTTTCCTGTGTTGGTTATCACCAACAACCAGAATAAACAACACCTAGTTTATTTGGGGTTCTGGGTTTTTTATTATGAGGTGGGGTCGTATTTCTTTCTTCCACTTTTTCTTCTAGGCCTATTCGTCTTTTTCATTTTCCGTTCTTCTCGCCGTCCGGACTTGGTGAATAGGGCCAACGGCACAGTCAGTGTAAACGCACGCTGAAGGAATCAATCTGGCGTGTAATGCGATTTTTCTTTCGAATTACTCTTGTCCCTTGATTCGTGTTCTTCTTTCTGGCCATCACTCATTATTTACAACATCAGGCAGCGAGATTCATTTATTTCCGTCCATTAAGTTCAACGCCCAAAATGACGATGGGATGATTGACAGATAAATATTTATAGCTCTGTACACTGCACATGCTTATATAAAGAGTACAACAAAAATGTTTAAACAATTCAGAAAAGAAAAAAGCATGTCTTTCGTAGTTTTATCAAATTTTGATAACACTGTTTACTTCATTTACCTTGTTCGGATTAATGTCCTCATCTTTGGTCGCCATTA